CAACGTTGCTCGGCTATAGAATTGGATTTTTTTGCTAATGTTAAGTCAAGCACAAGATCAGCTTGCATAGTTTATTTTCTAACACATAAAGTTATTTTGCCTATATAATAGATAGATCATAGACGAAAGCTCATGATTGCACTTATGCTTTTGTTTGTTTAATGGTAGGAGCCAGATGGAAAGAATATTCATATTCAGCTTAACATGATTCCCAAGACGAACACATTGAAGTTCATGATAGAATGGCCACTTATACTTCAACAGTTGCTAGGCGCTTCTCCTGAATACCAAAAATAAGTGGAAAATATGATGATATAATGCAAAATGTAGATGAAACAACTTATTACATCGTGACTTCAGAGTTCTATGTATCATTTTTTAAAGAAAATTATTATATAATAAGACAAAATTGATTGTTAGTTACCAACCATTTACATAGAAGGTCTACAGCTATTGCATATTGTTTAGCAAACTCAAGATTTAAGTTTTCACCATAACGCCATAAACTTGTCACGTATAGTTGACAACAAAGAGTTATGGTGCAATAAGAGGTCCCACGGATTTCTCGCTGATCGATGATCGGCATGAGCAAAACTCAATCCAGATCATTATCGCCTTCTAGTCCAACGCTCAAAACCTTGTCTCCGTACATGAAAACCCTCACTGACTACTGGGATGTTGCTCCTCTCTCGCATTTACAAAACCCTTGCCCGCCTAAAATTTCCTCATCCACCCATAAGAAACACTACCGCCCCATCCTAGAAATTTGGCATCACCTACCCACCCTGCCTCCCACCTTCCGCCTAGCGAGATCCCCACTCATCCATGCCATCGTACGATGTCTCTGCATTGGCCGCCCTGACCGCGCTAGCCGACCGTGTGGGCAACTAAGGGTAAAATCTGGCCCAAGAGGATTTCTACCCGTCCCATTGATCCGATTCTTGTCTAGCTACCAGTTAAAGTTTAGAAAAATAAACAAAGATTTACTGATTCTATTTTTCAATTAATGATCGCAGGAGAACTACACAAGCAACTATGATTCTGTAACAAAACAAACTTGAGGTACAATAGATTTGCTCCTTTGAACTCGAAGATTAGTATCCTTTAAGAGTTTTGCTAGGGCTTTTTTATTTTTCCTTGAAAGTTGAAAGTCCCTTCTCATATGGAAATACAATTGTGGTTTCCTAGGACTTCTCCACACTCTCACTCTCCCTATTTTCTATGCTCTAAGTGGAGTAGGGCTTCGTATATGCTTGGAATGATTGGCTCCTCCTTGGTGGTCCTAAATGAAAGGGAGTAAGGGGGGTATTTATAGTACTAGGGGGTGCCTTGGGAGAATGGAGATGCTTCCTTGATTCTAGGGAATATTTCCTTTTGGTGGGTCCATGGATCCAAGTGCTCCAAACCTCCTCCATTGGATCAAACCATCATCAAATCTAGGGTGAAGATGGAGTGAAGTTGTGTTTCCTTGCATGGATGGACGTGGGGGTCGACTAACCTCCTTGGCCCTTGGGCATCCTCCTTCATCTAGGAGCTGGGTCCACTTGTCATGGTGGGGGTATGGAAGGAGTTTGGATGTTGTCACGTTGAATTTTCCTGTTGGTGGGTCCATGAATCCTTGTGCGTTGCATATCCTCTGTCTAGAGAAAACACAACTTGCATATGATGGTTGAAAATGTGCCCAAGTGTGTTTCTTTTCCTCTCACATGGACTAGACCTCTAGGGCCCCACATTGAGGGTCGACTAGCCCCCTATGTGGGCCCACTATCCATGCTTTGCTCCCCATTTTGTCCCTACGCTCAAATATACTCCATGTACATGTGGAACCAAGTTATTTGCATAAAATGTGTGTGACACATATTCTATTCCTTTCATTTGTGATACATTGTTGATGGTTTTGTCTATATGCAAATTCATGCCACAATGACTCTCAGTAACCCCCTCTGGCCAGCCATCTCAACCTAACAGAAGCTTCCAGTCCCAAACCTTGGTAGGTTATAGAGCCATAGATGACCTATAGATTCACCTAGGTAAATCCAATCCAACGTGCCTTGATAGATGTTCTCTATACTAAAAGGACCAAATGGCCTTAGGGGGGATGACTTGGGCTCAAAAAATACGTGTGACAAGCCTTAGCCCATGCAAATTCTACTCACCCCTTGCACAGACCTAGGACTAAAAATATCATGTCCATAGGGCCATCAAGCTAAACATGCCCTTAGCCAATATATCACACTAAGAATATGGTCCTTAGCTGTGAAAAGTAAAGACCATGACTAAACACACTCAAGCATGGTGAAAAGATCCAGGTTGCCACACAAGATTCTTGAACTCAATAACAAGCAATCACTAAGCTAAGACATGAAAGTAAATACGAGAATAAAAGAGGGACAAGAGACAACCGATTTTTTTTCTCGTGGTGCCATGTAGTTACCACTACCACATAATCCATGTTGGAGCACCGAAGATTCACAAGACTTAGTTAGGCTCCTTTAAGTCACCAAGACTCAAATTTAATTTCACTAGCAAATACCCCCTTCTCCACTATGGATCATTGGTGGGTTTCAAACTGAGCACAACTCCTAGGAGCCTTCACACAAACCATTAGGAAGGTCATCTAGTCCTCCAGCGAGCCATCTAGGTGCTAGCAAACACCAAGAGTAACATGTCTTCAACCTTCACTTGATAGAAAATCCAAGCTAAGAATTCCTATATGCCCACTAATTAAGTACAGTCTCCAACAAGAAATCTTGACTTGAATGCCCTTAAACCCTTCCCAAAGTTCGTCTATATGTGTTTTGAATATGAGTATAGAAGAGACCTCCAAATGAGATAGAAAACACGAATAGGATGGGAAGGAGCTACTAGCTATATTGGAAAAAGTCTGCAAACACAATGATCAACGGAGGTCCACCGAGTGCCACTAGAGGGCGCACCGAATCATATGGTGACCCTATCCAGGCCAGTTTTACAACAAAAAGAAAGATATGCTAGAATATACCTTTGGATGATCCACCATGGGCCGCATAGGCACCACTAGATGGGGATTGAAAAAAAAGGTTTTTGAGGTCATCTAAGCTATATGGCAACAATTTTTCCTACCTTTCTATTTTCTTTTCTTCAGATTAACCCCTGCTTACGGTCTTTCCTATGTCGCCAACCAAACAAACACCTTTAGCTTCGTTGGGATTCTACTTTTCCATAACTTTGACATCCTCATTTTAGTCATTACTCTAAACATCAACCTTCTATACATTGATAGTTCCCATGTTTATCCATTAACCACACAAAAGTATCCTCCTCTTCATTGGGTCAAAACTCTTTTAAGAGCATCTCCAAGAGTCTCTACCCAAATCATTATCTAGAGAGTTATTTGAATAAAAATTGTTCTCTATATGTTTTCACACTCTAATAACTTCTCTATATCTTGTGCGCACTCTAGATAGCCAACCCTGCTCTCCATCTTTGGCTGGCGAGAAATTTAGAATAGAGGATGACAACATTTGGAGATCTGATAAAAGAACCTGTTGGAGGACATCTTTTCACCAAAATCTCTATTTCTATCAATATGGATGGATATAAAGAAGTTCTTTGAGTTGCTCTATGGTGTTGTTTGATTAGGACTCTATAAATGCAAACGTCAATGGAATTGATATCGCCATGGTCTAAAAATATAACTGAAAACTAACCCTATTCACTTGAGCTTATTCAGCACTACTTAGTATTTTCCTCTTACAATATTTCAACGTAAGCATCAGCATTAGCCAAATTTCAGCATATTGTTTGGTTCCTATCAGTAATGGAAAGGGAAACACTGGTCGTCGTCGTCCTTTTCTCCTTGCTGAGAAAGATATGCTAGCTTCGGGATCGTTTGAATAGAAGGAGCGCAATAAGCGGTGAAGTGTGCGTGTGCGGTAATGGGTCTATTTTTCAGTGCCTCCTCACGTGCTGTTATCAACTTCTAACTAAGGCATGTTTAGTTTCCCAAAACTCAAAAAATTTTACGCAGTATCTATCACATCGAATCTTGTGGCACATACATGGAGTACTAAATATAGACGAAAAAAAAACTAATTGCACAGTTGGGTGAGAAATCACGAGACAAAACTTTCGAACCTAATTAGTCCATAATTAGACACTAATTACCAAATACAAACGAAAATACTACAGTTCTCAAAACCTAAAAAAATTTAGATCTAAACAGGGCCTAAGCCGAGATCTGATTTCACGGTATAGCTTTACCTTTTGCTATAACAACCAATCACAGAAACAATGCAATCAACTTGCACTGTAATCAGATCATAGAGCAAAATGATTGAACCAAACAACACCTAAGATATCGATTAATCTCTCACATTCCAGCATATCCTCATTTCATCACATTTAAAAAATCCACGGTGTGAAAATCAAACGAGAATGCACATACATACAGGAAACATAAACCCCAGACATAGAAACGGAAACATTTTTCGGCTGGTCATGTTATGGCTCGTTTCAGCTTTTTAGCTTATTCTCTCACAGAACTTTATTGAATCATCCGAAACCATCCGAAATCTATTTACAGTCTACCAGCCAAACCATCCGAAACATTTTTATCATGTTCTACTAGTCTTCTAGAAGAAGAATCGAGCACACAAATTGGGCGGCTCGCGGTTGGGCCCCCTGCCCCCCCAAACTGTCGACGCCGGCTCGACACGAACCCAACCCAGGCCCAACCACCTCGCCAGTGGGCGCCTCCCTCCCGTCTCCTCCTCCCCTGCTGGTCAGAACTCCGAATCAAATCACTGCTCCCCCAGCTTCCTTTACCGTCGCAGCAAGCAACCCGGTAGCAGCAAGCTGATCGCGGGGAAGCTCCTCGCCTCCCCCATCGGCGCTGCTCCGGCGCGGAGAAGCGTCCTCTCGCGGCGGCCGGGAAGACCAGTTCACGCCGCCAGTCCCGAAGGCGGCTTCCGTGAGGTGGCCTTGGCCCCAGGGGCGGCAGGCTCGTGGCGGCCGGCGAGATGAACAGCCACGCGGCCGGAACAAGCAACGGCGGATCCGGGGATGCGGCCGCCGGGGGCGCGGCGAGGAGGAACACCAGGATGCCCAAGTGTGAGATCTCGCGCCGAATCTATCCCGTGTGCTTCCCGTATTGGCAGTTCTCTCGTTTCGTTCAGGCTAAGGCTTGGGACGGCGCGATAATATGTGCCGGGGTTAGTGGTTCGGTGTTAATCTGGCCCCCTTTGGGTTTGGAGATGCTGCTAGCTTATGCTCTCTTTTGGCGTTGATATTTTTGTTGCCATGTTGTTAATCGTGGGAGCTTGCGTATTAGTTACTGTAGCCAGTTCAATCCAGAAGAAAAAACATAGACTAGTTGGCACATGATGGTCTTATTTACTTACTGCGGCTAGTTCAGTTCAGTACTAAAACAGACAATCTAGTTATTTCAGTGCACGATAGTTTCATTTTCTTATTGATTATAGGTAGTTCAATCCAGAAGAGAAACCGTATCCAGGTGTTACATGATGGTATTATTTCATTAGTGATATCCTGTCATATTAAGTCCAGAAGAAAACCTGTCAATCTAGTTGGTACACAACAGTATAAGCTTCTTAGTGATATAGCTAGTTCAATAAAGGAAAAAGCATCAAACTAGTTGGGGAATGATGGTATTGTTTACATTACATGTGTTTGGACACTGGTTATCAATGAAATTATGAGGTCAGAGATGGTGATCACCTGTTAGACATGCATTTGCGGATCGCAAACCCATTCTAACCCAAAAATTCTTATGTGCAGATTCCAAGTTCACACAGCAGGAGCTGCCGGCCTGCAAGCCGATTCTTACTCCAAAATGGGTAGGCTTACTGGTTGTGGAGATTGTGATGCTAGAAAACTAACATCGGAATGTTTCGATCTTTGACTTATGTTTTGTAGGTTGTCTCTGTTTTCTTCATCGTCGGGGTCATCTTTGTTCCCATTGGTGTTGTTTCACTGCTAGCTGCAAGAGATGTATGCTGTCTTTTCTCTTGTGGCTTCTGTCTTAAGATAGATGTTGTGGGTTGTGGTAGTCTCATCTTTTTTCTATTTCTACATGTTGACTGATTGCAGGTTGTTGAGATTATTGATCGGTACGATGAGGCATGTGTGCCAAGCAACATGACTGAGAACAAGCTTGCTTACATCCAGAATGAGACCATATCCAAAGAGTGCATAAGGAATCTTACGGTAATAGACTTTCATGGTATTGATTTACCGTTTGAAATACTAAGGCATAGAAGAAGAAAAAGTGCAATTAACTAGATTTTTTTAAACGATTATGAAGTTAGAACAAACATGCGGTTGTAGCATACATCTTCTATCAGATTTATCACAAATTTCTTTGCTGAAGAATTGAATTTTCTTTCCAAGGTTACGAAGGACATGAAGCAGCCTATTTTTGTGTATTATGAACTTGATAATTTCTACCAGAACCATAGGAGGTATGCTGTTTTTTAAGATTTGCAGACAATCATTTGAATCTTTATCCCTTGGCACAAATTGACAGCTATCACTTTCCTGATGTTGATGAATTATCATTTGCAATCGTGATGCTATTTTAATTGGAAAACATGATACAACAACTTAACTTCTAACTTGGATACCTTACCGTCAAAGAAAAAGAAGTGAACAGTCTTTCATTGGAGATTTACCATGCACTTCCCTGATTCAGGTATGTCAAGAGCCGAAATGATGCACAGCTAAGAGATGCTAGTAAAGCTAACCAGACATCCGCTTGTGAACCTGAGAAGACCACGGCTAATGGGCAACCAATTGTTCCTTGTGGTCTCATTGCTTGGAGCTTGTTTAATGATACATATAATTTCACTCGTGGTAATGAGAACTTGACAGTGGACAAGAAAGACATTTCCTGGAAGAGTGATAGGGAGCATAAATTTGGTAAAGATGTCTATCCGAGCAACTTCCAGAATGGTGCACTTAAAGGTGGAGCAACACTTAACCCAAAGATTCCGGTATGTGAACTTTTATTCTGCACCATCATATTGTGGCATATGCTTGTCTAGAGAGACTATTGTTCATTTAGTATACATTTGCAACATCATATTTCTGCTAATGTCCATTGATTTCTTGTTCATGTGGATAAACAAAAGCTGTATGGGTAAGGAATATTTGTGGCAGTTATTCATGTAAGTTGGATGTGATGTGACAGTTGAGTGAGCAAGAGGACCTCATCGTTTGGATGCGGACTGCAGCACTTCCTACGTTCAGAAAGTTATATGGGAGAATATACTTTGACCTCAAGGAGAATGACACAATAACAGTGAGATTGAATAACAACTACAATACATATAGCTTTGGCGGCAAGAAAAGACTGGTCCTCTCCACTGCAACCTGGCTTGGGGGCAAGAACGATTTTCTTGGCTTTGCGTACCTTATAGTTGGTGGGCTCTGCATTTTCCTGGCATTTGCATTCACCTTGCTGTACTTCGTAAAACCAAGGTTAGTGACTTTTGACTGTCTGTTGCAATCGCTTGGAAATTAGCCGTGTGCTGGATTTAGTCTGTGAACCCGCTATATATATGCATGTGCTATCCGGTGTGATAGCCATACTGTGAATGTGATGCTTGCTGTGAAGTAATCTGGGTTTAGCCTATCAAGTTTATAGAAAACCTGTAGGCTGTAGTCTGGTATTCTGATTATGCCTGGTGCAGCCCATTTTATCTCAGCATCATTTATGTCAATTAAAGGTTGAGGTGGCCTTGAGGCTTTAGGCTGTATAAGTACATTTCACATCACACTACTTTGGTCCTGTTGTTGCAAGTACTTCCATAGGAGCACCTTCTATAAATTTTGGTGGACTAGAACCAGACAACCAGCTGTTCTGTTTTACTACTTTGCTGACTTTGGTCCTTCACACTGCTATTTTGCTTATCGTGGTACATTGTGTTGAGTATGTTATGCACTGTGGACTGAGGCTTGTACCATAAGAATGATCGTTTTAGGACTTCTCTGTGCTTGCTAAAGCATCTGTCTATCATTATTTTTCATTGACACCCTACACGAGTGGAAATGCTAATCCTATCTGTGGCTTCGGCAGGAAACTGGGAGACCACAACTACTTATCCTGGAACAGACACCCCGCAGGACGCTAAGATGTTTTGGAACGCCAAGTATCCGTACTACTTGAAGTGTAACTTGTATGAAATGAAATGCTCTGAACCAGAAATCTGTTGGGTACAAGCAAGTATGGTTCAGGCTAGAACTTCATGTACATTTTATACAAAGGGATCTAGGTGGCTACGTGATTTTGTTTCTTGTGTTCTTTAGAGCTGCATGTAGTAGTGATCATGAGAATACCTATTGATCTCTAATGGCTTGCGTGGTGGTACGAGCACTCTAAACGGTTCCCCTCTAATAGTTTACTATGTGATGTTCATGCTTCGGCTACCGAAGATCTGTTATCAGTCAAGGGTGCGTGGGTAATGATTGATGTAGGTTGATTGTAATATCCTCAAAGGGGAACAGTACCAACTTCTGTACAAATTGATCACTGTCTGATGTTTGTTTGTCTACCACGATTTCATAGTATACGAGTGTCTGTCGTTGTCATCTATTTGGGTTGGAATTGGAAGTACAGCCCGCACGGTCAAAATGCCCTTCTACATGTTATAAGAATCGAAAGCATAATCCACAACACTCAGAGATGCATATGAGACGCATGTATAGAAAGCCATGCAGCCCGAGGCCCGTCGGCATGGCCCATGGCCCGGCCTTTTGGTCTGGCACGGGCACGGCTTGGCCCGGTGACCAGCGGGCCCGTGCCGGCACAGCCCGATGGACCAGGCCGTGTCTGGGCCGTCACCCTGGCCCGTGGCACGGCCCGGGCACGGCACGGTGGTGCAGGCCGGCACGGTGACGGCCCGGTGCCCCATTTGGCCCAGCAGCCCACGAAGGCCGACAACGGCAAATATAAGTGCAGCGCAGGAGGCCAGGAGCCCTGCCCGGCTGCCCCCAATCCCTCATTCCCTCCCGGCCTCCCCAATCCCTAACCCTAATCCTCATTCTCGCTCGCTCGCTCTCGCTCTGCTCTAGATCTCGATCCACCGCCGCCACCGCCATCGGCCCCGTCCTCGGCTCCGGTGACCTCGCCGGCGCTCCTCCACTCCACCTCGCTAACCCCGTCATTCGCCGCCGCGCAGCCGTCTCTCTCTCTCGCTCGCTCCACCTCGCTCTCGCTCTGCTCTAGATCTCGATCCACCGCCGCCACCGCCATCGGCCCCGTCCTCGGCTCCGGTGACCTCGCCGGCGCTCCTCCACTCCACCTCGCTAACCCCGTCCGGCTGTCCCCGTCTCCTCCCTCCTTTCCCTCTCGTCTCGCTCTCGGTGAACCGTGAGCCATGTGAGTTCGTGTTCTTCCCTACCCTACCTCGCCCACCTCGTCGTCGATTATAATCGTTGTCTCCTCCCCACGCAACGAATCATGATAATATCTCTCTTATGTCTTATTGTCTGTGAAATAGAATCTGTGAACTGTGAAAGTGAAACACTTAGAAAATTTGATGAAAAAAGAGAGGTTTTTTGGCAGCCAGGCCATGGGCCGGCACGGCCCGGTGAAATTGGCCGTGCTCACCGGGCGGCACGGCACGGAAAAACGGCCCGTGGGCCGTGCCTTGGGCCAGAGGCGCGACACGAGCACGGTGGCCCGTGCAGGCACGATGCCACGCCAGCACGGCAGCGGGCCAGCACGGCCCGATGGCCATCTATAGACGCATGTTCAGAGTTCATTTCCACTTCCTTTATTGCTCCACGCAGGTTGGAAGACAAATCGAAATCATCTCCGCAACATGACTCGTGACACTCAATAAATGTTCAGCCCCAGATGCCACAAGCAGAAGGGTAGCTCAAGCTAATTACAGTAACCTAGTCGAGAACAGTCACCTACCTCCCATCCATCAGCACAAGTTTCTTTTGGATCTTCAGTTCATAGCTAGATAATATAAAGCAACACTCAGACTTATTGCACGGTTAAGCCCCCATTTTTAGCTTTTCAGATATCCTGTTCAGCACTCGCGCTGCCACTGTTTCCTCCTGTTCCTCATTCTGATTCTTGGTGAGCCACTCTTGAGTGGCAACCAGATCGGAGAGCATCGTCGCGCCTGACTGCCTCCAGCTCTCGGCATCGGCAGTCTTGAACCGGTCCAGGAGCAGCGCATGCATCCCGATGCTCCTAGCTGGGGTGTAGTCCTTCCGCATGCTGTCACCTATGTGGAGCGCTTCTTCTGGAGCGACGTTTCCTGCCATTTCCAACGCTATCTTGTAAATTCTTGGGTCTGGCTTCTCAACACCAACCATGCCTGAGAACACCCCAAAGTCCCACTCGGAGCCCTAGTTGCAAACCAAGACATGCGTTAGTATTTAGTCGACTACGCCAAGAAAGCAGATTGTTATAGAAGCATGTAACTGATGTGTGATCCAGTGGATATTGCACCTGATTCAACCCTAAAGCTGGCAAGATTACATCTTTGTAGCGGTACTCTGCATTGCTGACAACACCAACAGTGAGTCCCTTTTCCCGCGCCCACCGCATAAAGGGCTGTGCATCAGGAAATGCTGAATATGGCGCAGAGGAGCCAAAAGCAGAATAAATGCGCCTGAAGATTTTCTCAAATGTCTCCTCATCATAATCATAGCCAGCCTGCAGTTTGTGATAGATCATAGAGCAACTGAATCACAAGGCCCTCTGAACATTAAGAGGACACACCACTAGTCCAGACAAGTTTCAGATTTGTAAATTGGTCTTACCTTAACGAATGAATTCTTAACACATGTCCTCCACCATTCAATGTTCGGCATCTTAGCCGCAAATCCAAAGCAAGGGTACTGTCTTGCCATCTCAGTGTATGCAAGCTTGAAGCCCTCATGCATACGGTTATAGTCAGGACATGGCATCCCAGCAGACTTAGCTGCCATACAGTAGTAATCCCCAAGGTGTCCTTTGTAAGCAATCAGTGTACCAGTAACATCCACGGTGATCAAACGTAACTTTGAAAGTAGAGACATGCTTGGCAGTGATCTGAACTGTGGTCTTTATATACAATCTACCTGCAAATTCACATAGTGAAAATTAGGACCAAACAAACCATTTTTGCAGAGCCAGCAGAACAGGCATTACAAAAATATATGGCATCAATGTTACAAAATTAATTTTATATATAGCTGAGAGGCAGCGCCTGAGCTCATATATCCTAGGCATGGAAGGTGCACTCAGAAATTAACTTTGCAATGAGATGCTCCTCCCTCCCTCCCAACTACTCCCTCCGTTCACAAAAAGATGCAATTCTCACTTTTGAGGAGTCAAACAATTTGAAATTTGACCAAAGTTATTATATAAAAAAGTACTAACATTTATGATACAAGATAAGTACCATTAGATTAGTTATGAATTTCGTAGTAAACCTAGTTGGAGACAAGTGTTAACACTATTCGCTATAAATTTGTTAAACTAGTTTGACTTACACAAATCTCACAGTTGCATCCTTTTGTGGATGGAGGGAGTAATACCCAAGACCTTTTTCCATAGTGAACCAATGCCTTTTGCAATGGATGAAACATTTAACTTAAGTCAAAAAGACCAATCGCTATATTACAAAGAGTGCTGCAGAACACAAAAGTAAAATAGTGACACCGCTCTACCAGCTGGCAAGAACTATACCATATTGCCCCCTTTAGAACAAAGGAAAAGCACACGAATTTTGGAGGATTGTAATCCTATAGGAAACTTTCCTATATGTCAATTTGGAACGAAGGACTAAACCCTGTGAAATTCCTTTGGATTACTATGAGATGCATGAAACCATAGGATTACTATGAGATGCATTAAACCCTATGCAGGAAAATTAGCATGAGGTTGGACCTCATGGAAACTTTCCTTTGTGTCTATCTCTCACATGGAATTCTTGTTTTTTTTTTCTGAAAAACGTCTAGATAACATGACAAATGGGGAATAGAAAGGAAAAATAAACGTGCTGGGCAATCATTTTGTCAAAACATCAGTGATGTACTGATGTGGCATCTAGGATGAATGTACAATACCTACTTCCACAGCAAAGTCAACCTACATGGGACATTTCCTCCCGACATTGGAAATATAGTGAAACAAATTCAGCAGTGACCGCTGAGCAAAGCATCCATGATCTCAGCAACCAGGCAGGAAGGGACTAAGAATGAATATTCCGTTTCTACCAAGATAAACTCCAAACCCCTTGTAACTCCTAATTTTCAACATTTCTCTGTCATCAATGATTACTAACACCCCCAGACCATCTACTCTATCCTGGTTGAGATCCCCATTCATTTTATTTTGCAAGAAAAGTAAAAAAAAAAAAAAAAAAAGTAAGGTCATCACCGACCTCCTTGCTCAATAATAACAAACAAATAGCAAATCTCAACCAGAAAGTGGAAGGGAAAAAATCCAAAATGTTCCATTACCTAGAAAAGGATCGATGATTGAACCTCCAGTCGCGGCAATGCCTGCAACAAACAGAAGAAACACGAGATCCGGTCAGGCAACCAACAGAGGTTCACCTCGGAAGATCCTATCTTTCTGCACAAGAACGCGGCAAAAGCCAACAAACGGATACGCCATAGATGAGAGATCGCTACCTCCCAACCACGGCAGGTGTCTAACCGGAACGGGGGAAAAGTTGCGGCCTTGGAGCCTGAGATTTCAAGAAACAGGCAACCAGTGGGCTCCTCCCAGTTCCTTGCCTATGAGCTCCAGGTTTTGATGTTTGGGAGGTGGGATTTCGATTGGTTTTTCGGTGGTACAAGTACTGGGAGTGGGGAGTGGAAATCTGTGGAATTGGGAACGGGATACCAGCGGTGATGGTCCATGGTTTTGGTTCATCGGATTTCAAGCATACTTTAATGGCACCTTGGGCAGAAAGCAGCCGATAGGTACGCGTGTCCCCACTGTTGTACTAGTAGTAGTGAAAAGTTTGCGAGGAATAGGCGTGCCATGTCACGAATAGACCAAAGACTGTTTTCCATGTCAACAACAGAGGTGCATCTTCAGTGGCCGACTCGTGGTCCGACGTGTGCTGGAGAAATCGAATCACCACGAGGAAGAAGAAGAAAGGCCTGCTTGGTTCAATGCCAATTTTTGCCAAGCCAATTTTAAGACAAGCCAAAACATGGGTATACTAGTATTAGGGCAGGCCAATATAGTAAGGCAACGAAAGTTGGTGTTTAGTTTGCTACGAACAAGAGAAAAAAATGTTGTCTTGCCAAAGTTTTAGAAAGTATTGCCAAAACTTTGGCAATCAACTAATTATATGCCAAATCTTTTGAACTTGCTCATATTTTAACTTGGCAGCTTAGAACCAAGCAGGCCCGAAGAACCGATGCATATCTGAGAGTCGATTCGTGGTGAAAGAAAATGGAGCAACCCCACTTACCGGAGGGCTTGCCGCACCGCACCGTCGTTGCGGCCGCGCGGTCGGCAAGTGTGACGGTGCGACCTCTATGGAGTAGGTAGAGCCGAGGACACGTAGCAGGCAGGCCGACGAGCGGAGGAACTGACGAGGGGCTCTGCAGTTCGAGGGCGCTAGGCGGCGCAGCCCCCTCGCGGAGTACCTGCTTGTGTAGCGGGGAAAAGAAGCCAGGATTGGGGAAGAACAGGAGGGTGACGGATCATTTTTATATATTTTTTATTTATTATATGCTTTTGTGTCTAATGCCTCCAAAAAGTATGATAGTATCTTTTCTTTAGAAGTTAAATAAATCACATTTAATTAGGTTTATAAAAAAATAGTACCAATATTTATATCTCTAAATATATTCTATGGTTAAATCTAACAATACTTATTATGCATCAAAGATCCATACTAAAATTTAAGTCATTTTGATCTTACATAAATGTTAATACCTTCTCTCTAAAAATATGAAAATATTGCTTCTCGAGAAGCCAAATAATAAAAAGGCTTATAGAATAGTACCAAAATTTATATATTTAAATATATTTATAATCAAAAGTGTTGTTCCCTCCGTACTAAATTGGAAGTGATTTTGGTTTTACATAAATTTTACTTGTATCTAGACATAATGTATCTATAAAAGTTAAAATGACTTACAATTTGAAATAGGGAGAATGATATTCTTTTATATGTTTAGTCAAATTTAAAATTGTTTGACTACTCGCAAGGTTTGACTACTCAAAAACAAAGTTTAGGTCCATACGGCTAGTCTAGCATTAGTTTTGGAGATTGTACGCTCTTTCCAACCAAATCTTATCCCTGTTCCGTTCGGTAGAGGTCTATGTTTTCTACTTCCTATTTGAGAGCTCTTCACGTCTTCCAAATATGTGGTCTGATTTACTATTTTCATGAGATGTCTATTATAAGACACGTTGCAAGCCATTAGGATCTTTAATTTGCTTCTTCGTCTCTCACTATGAATATAGTATATTAAAATAAAAGAACATAAAGGTATGAAATAGGTGAACTTTTTATTATCTGAATATTGATAATTACTCCCTCCATCCTAAATATTATGTCATTTTGGTTTTCCTAGATATATAGTTTTTATAATATATCTAGACATAATGTATATCAGAGTGTGTAGCAAGAACTATATACCTAAAAAGCCAAAACAATTTAAAATTTTGGAACAGAGGGAGTACAATGTTGAGCTCCTACTCCTACGTACAAGGCCCTAGAATTTGGCTAGAGCTCACATAGATGAAAGTCCCGTTTGGATTTTGGTAAAATGACAATATTTATGGACTAATGGTTTCATGTAAGGTGAAAGGTTAGGTGAATAGCCCACAAGCAAGACTTGAGCTAGATGAGGCCATAAAAGGAGAAATGGCATGATCACATGATGCAAAAGCTCAACAAGAAGAAATGGGAAGCATTGCCTAAGTATAATAATATGGATAAGAAGGTAGTAACTCTACCATTTAATTAATAAGAATACACAAGGGGATACCATATACCTTATAATCTATAATTATGCTTACTATTGAAGCACAACTTCTTTTGTCCACTGGTCCGTCATCCCTCACTCCCACCTTCTCGCTTGCACTCCTATTGAAGAGAGCTGTTTTCACTCCTATCATGGCTAAACTGCATCCTTCTTTAGTAGGGCATCGACGATTATAGTTTGGAGCTACAAATTTGGCATTTTTCTTTAACAAACCTCAATTGGAATATAAAGAAAACCTATTGCACTTTCAAACCTAATACACTGGATTAAAGAAAACTAGTACCTATATTTGACACTAGTGGCTAGCAAAAAATGAAATCGTCGAAGTTTGTTAAAGAAAATTATCAATTTTGTATGTATTATCTCTCTCTTGGGGATTATGTGAAATTATTGGCTGAAAATATATGCTTATTAATTATTATTAAAACAGCAGTTCAAATAATATGGAGCTAATTGAAAATATGAAATAGTTGTGGATCCTTTGGAATATAAAACGAAAATGCCATTCTGGTTCCAGGGAGGAAACATTCATTATTCCAGTTCCTTCCAAAGCACAAACGACACACTAAATTCATTGTTGCCTAATATTTGCAACTTTACCATGATGACATGACATTAGCCTAGTTCCTTTCATCTTATACAAAACATCATAAATACAAAGCAAACATCTATGCCTATGATATTACAGGTAGGTAGGACTACATTAATAGGAAGAATACACTACTGCAAAAACGATTTGTAGCAACGTCTTCCTTTATTTACAGGGGCGGCTCTATATTGAGTCGCCCCTACAAATGGTTGCCAAATGAGCCGTCCTTACAAATGGATTTGTAGGGACGGCCAGTGTTATCAGCCATCCCTATAAATCGGATTTGTAGGGGCGGTTCAATATTGAAGTGCCTCTACAAATAGACGCCGAGTATTAAAAATTAAGCGCTAAAATTCAAATTTTGTAAACGACCTCGGATGGAGAAACAACCAAAATGAAAGTTGTAGATCTCGAAAAGTTATGAAACTTTGTAGTTGACAACTTTTTTTATTTGAAATCATCTTGTCAAGGAAAACTACGTTTGAATTTCTAAAAATTTGAAATATGAATTTTTTAAGCGACCTCGGATGGACAAACAGTAAAAATGAAAGTCGTAGATCTTGAAAAGTTATGAAACTTTGTAGTTGATAACTTTCTCATTTGAAATCATCTTGTCATGTAAAATTACGTTCGAATTTCTTAAATTTGAAATTCAAATTTTATAAGTGACCTCGGATGGAGAAACTACCAAAATGAAAGTTGTAGATCTCGAAAAGTTATAAAACTTTGTAATTGACAACCTTTTCATTTGAATTAGTTTAGGGCCTCAAATAATCAATTTATGCTTAGTTTTGTATAATATGTGGGGAACTAAAATAAAATATAGACACAAGTGATCGTGAGGTGCAATAATGATAGAGGAGTTTATGCGCGAGTGAGAGGTCGCGGGCTCGAAACCCGGACGACGCAAAGTATGCACAAATCATGAAAAAATGCTGCAACGGTAGAGTGAGGGTGTGTGTGGCTGCCGGTGGGGACCTTCTCAGATTAAAAAAATTGCTATTTTTTACCCTTTTTTTTGTTTTTTCTAAAAATTAATTTGTAGGGACGACTAAATATCCAGCCGCTTCTATAAATTAATTTATAGAAACAGTCTAAAAATCGTTGCTACAAATCAGCAATTTATAGCCACTCTTTCACGAGGGAGGCTAGCAAAACCGCCCCTACGGGCCGCCCCTAAAATAAGGCCGTGTTTAGTTGAGGAAACTTTAGATTTTGGGCTACTATAGCACTTCCATTTTTATTTGGCAAATAGTGTTTAAACATGGACTAATTAAGCTCAAAACGTTCGTCTCGCAATTTCCCACCAAACTGTGTAATTAGTTTTTTTTTCGTCTATATTTAATGCTCCATGCATGAGCCGCAAACATTCGATATGATATCACTTTTGGGGATTTTGAATTGCAACTGAACATGGGCTAAAGGTTTTCTACGTACTGATATGACGTCAAACGCCGACGACAGATGAGTGGTTTATTTGCACAGAAGTGTATCCAAAATATCTCCGACGGGATCCGTACATTCACATGTAAATGTACTGACAACCATCATAACCTGCAGGACAATACAAAACCACAATAAAATAAGAAATTTGATTTACTAGTATGTTTTGAATAATTTTTTTTAAAAGGCTCCTTGCCAAAAAAAAGGCCTGGCCCATGCGTTATTCAGTTCAAGCCCACTTGAATACGCCCTTCATGGGCCCAGCCAGTTCACGGGCCTCGACCCATTCGTCCGGACATGTTTCAAATTCGCAACAGCGCAATGACACGCAAGCTGTTCCTGATGTTGAATGAGCGAGGGGGCTTACTAGGGTCTCTGGTGACGAGCATGGCGGCGCCGCCGAAGTCGCATGTCCCGCCGGCGACCCTGGTACGCTGCCAGTAACTGTTGAACGCGTAGGAGGCGTGCGCCACCAGCGTGTCCGGCAGGTAGCACGGCCCGCCTGGCGCCGCCATGCTGCAGTCCGCGCCCGACCCGCACGCGTAGTCCATCGCCGCCTGCACGACCGCGCTCGCCGCTGCCGGGCTCGCGACGCACCGCAGCCCCGGACGCGCATGCCCTAGCGGGGGCGCCGGGAACGCCACAGGCGGCAGAAAAAGCGGCGCCGGCTGGCTATTACTGCCCGGCGCGACGATGGACGGCGGGCCGGCGGGCGGAGGCGCGCCGGGCGCGCTCGCCACCGGCGGCAGCGGGGCCGGCAAGGTAGGCTTTGCGGGGGGAGGGTACACGCAGTACGGCGGCGGCGGAGGAACGTTGGCTGCTGGTGCTGGAGCGCCGCCGATCACGTCCTTGTATGACGGCAACGACGGCGAGTTCACGATGTTGGGGTGCGAGTAATCCCTTGTCCTTGCCGAAGCATCCGCCCAATCTGTTGCCCATGAATTGCATGATGACAAAGAAAATGAGAAACTAACAAGGATTCTTGTCCTCATGAGAAACTATATGCATGATCATGGACAATGCAGAACGAGATTTCGGCTCTGATTGAACTGTGTCAATTGCGAATGGACAATGCAAATAATGTGCACTCGTAGAGTGGAGCAGTTTGCTGTTACCATATTGCATAAAGATGATGGGTGCTAGGATGAAGATGAAGCAGTTCTTGATCATGCTTAACCCCATGAGTTTGCCAAAAATGGTAAACCTGGGCTCCTGATGACAACGGAGGATACATGGGAGAGTGTTATAGTGCTGGAAAGTGATGGTGGACCAGGCGAACACTATGAAGTAGGCTTGGCAGGCAAAGGGGAGGCAAGCAAGAATTCACCAGCTGCAAAGCTGCATGTGACTGAATTTTTTAATATTCCGGATGCGCATCAGTTGCAAATGTTAGCCTGTTCGTTTGGCTGTGGCTTATCGTAAACGATCATAAATTTCTAGTCAGAACAGTGTTTTTCTCTCACACAAATCAGCCAGCAGTACTTCTTCACGAACCAGCAACCATACGAACCAGCCAACCGAACAGGCTGGTTAGCTCTTTTCGCTGTTGATTTCGGCGCCTGCAGGGCTTGGATTATATTCCCCGGCCTTTTCTCCAGGCGAAGTTTTGGCACCTGTGCTTGCGTGGTCAAAGAGAAATTCAAGAAGCGGGAAATAAGAAAAGGAGAAAAGGGAAAAGCAGGGGAGAGACTTGATCTTGCATGAGCTGTACTGGTCTTTTCTGTTGCTTTGGTTCCACTCCAAGCAGAGACAACTGGCTGATCAGTGCCTATTTATTTAAGAGTATATTATCCCCTCCGCGCCAAAATAAATGTTGTTATGGTATTCGTCTCGTTCAATTTTTTTAAGTTTAATTAGATTTGTAAAAAAATATTAGCAATATTTATATCTTTAAATAAGTTTATTATGAAAATAGATTTAAGGATCTATCTAATGATAAAACTAATTATATGTAATATAAATACTAATATTTTATATATATATTTGGTTAAATTTAGAAACTTTTGACTTCTAGGACATTTATTTCAGGAGATTTTTTTTTAATTTTAACATTTTTTAGAAATTAATTTTAAATCTAACACGGCCGGTTTTTTTTAAAACTAACACTTTTGGCCGCGCCTATTGCCCTGGCTCGGCCAAATGCCTATGCCGCGCCACGGAGCATGGCGCGGCTGGGCCAAATAAAACCCCGCGGCCAGTCATGCCAGCCCGAGCAGCAAGCAAGCCTGGCCGCCGCGCCCGCCGCCATCCCGGAACGCGTCGCGCCGATAGTGGAAGTTATTCTAAGTATTGCTTGACGTAAAATCAATAATGAATTTGTTTCTATATTTTGTTAAATTTTTCTCACGGCCGAATAGAGAATCTGATAAGCCAATGATATTTTTGGCCCCATATTGTAGGATCGGCGGCGATGCGACCATGGGCCCCGGCTTCCTCGACCCCTCGCGCAAGACGCCGACCACCGGCGTCGAGATATCCCGGGACTGCCGGTTTTCAAACTAGTTGCTACTTAATCTCGCAAGCAGTGATGACGCGACGTATTGAAATGGATATGAAGCAAATAACATAAGTTGACAAGCTGCCACAGAACATTTTAATTGGTTTGACATAAGTTCGACATAGCATAACCAACTAAGCCTGCAAGTTTCGGACACCAATAATAGTTCGACCTAACAAACTAAGACCCAGGAGTGTAAGGATCCCTCAGACGCCTCTGTCTCTTCGGATTTGTTGGCAACACATTGGGAGTGTAGCCAACGTCGGTGTGGTCGCGTCGCCGGTGCGTACGGTTCGTACCTCGCAAGTATGTGATATGCACGATTACTTAGAATTCTTTATGACCGTTAGTTCATGTAGCCTACGTATTTAAAGAAACTACCTTTGTTAGTACCTGTGAGGCTCCTTGGGTACCAAGCGGGGCACCATCTAGCTAAGACATGCCGATCTCGTCCTGCGGCCAATCTTCCCACTGGTCGTCGTTGTCCTCGTCGTCCTCTTCGTCTTAGGTTGTAGGGTCCTTGCCAGCACTATGATGTGGTGGTGTACGTACCACGGAAGTGGCACCTATCACCGGCTGAGAAGAGCCGGCTGGTGTCCTCAAAGAGGCTGAAGACGTGCCACCCGACCGCGTCGGGAGTGACGGTTCCTCATAAGGAGTGTCCATGCAGCTCAGCTTCTGAGCTAGCTTCCTGCAGCTCTTCTTCACCTTCTGCATAAATAGACGTTAAAGTTAGTGTATTTCCTAAACGCATATACACTAAAGAAACATTTTTGGAACGGACAAGTTTATGTTTACCTCCACAAAAGCCGCGAGAACGCCTGGCCCCTGCCCTCTAGACTCGTGAAGCCGGTACGCTGCTTCGTTGGATAGCCTCGACAATTGTGTCGCCTGGGTACAGAAACACGGTTGAATAGTTTTAGTATACATACTTAATACCAAATGGATAATAAATTATACCATTCAAGTATCTTACCA